ACTGAGGATAATGGATCAGAAGCCACAGGGTTTTCACACGACTCGTGTGCCCAGTGACACGGGTCGTGTGACACTCACACGACTCGTGTCATTCTGTCACACGAGTCGTGTGCTTACTCAAGAGAAATGTTTAAAAGTTTCGGGGTTTTCACACGACTCGTGTGACCATGTGACACGAGTCGTGTGATGGTCACACGACCCGTGTCACACCTTCACACGAGTCGTGTGACTAGTGACTCTCTGAAAATCTGATTAATGTTTATTTATAATTTTCTACTTTGTGGTTCATTTTAAATTACACATTAAAGTATATTATTTTGTTTAATTGTTTTAATTTTTGGATCGTATACTTTTAGGGACAAATCACCAAAGCCAGCATAATCAGGGTGCCTGGACTGATGTTGAGTTTTTTCGGATGCTTGCCAAAGAGGTTGAAGCGAGCGATCCTGCGACGATGCGGTACTGCAATAACCTCCTTTACGGTCAGCTTTACCCGGACCAACAAGCATATGGAGAACCGGAGGTTAAGGAAAATACGCGAGGTCGTCCCAAAATAACTGATTCTACTAAGCGTGAAGCATCGCGATGGGAGTATAGGGATAATTCTAAAGGTCGTACAAGCAATTCTTCGCGTGGACGCACTTCTTCGCGTGGACGCACTTCTTCGCGTGGACGCACTTCTTCGTGTGGACCGAGAACCAGCCAATCTTCTGAACTGTCACAAGAGGCACACCAAGGTGACATTTATTTTTTATAAAGTTGAACGCTAATTAAAATGTTAATTTACAAAATTATATTATTTTATTGTGACGTGAAATTATTACGATGTTCCAGCTGGTACCGAGACAGATATATTTAGCTTTAAGTACATCAGCAGTGTTCCCTGGCATATGTTGGACTATGTAGTGAGCTACTTGAATGTGAAAGCAGGTGGGAACTGCGGATGGCGGGTCATCGCGAGTTACATTTACGGGGACCAGGAGATGTGGCAACTCGTACGAGAGAACGTTGCCAATGAGATTTACAGCCATCGTGCCTTGTACGAGTACATCTATTACAGGGATATCGACACGACACTCGCTCGGATAAGGTGGAATGGGGGCGCTTTTTATTTTTATTATTATTATTTTGCTAATATTTATATTTTATAT